CTGGTTCAATCAGTAAAGCATGTGACTATTGATCTCCAGGTCATGAGTTCAAGCCTCACATTGGGCTTTAAAAAATTTTTTAAAGTTAAAAAAATTTAAAAAATAAAAAGCATATAGTCTTCCCTGTTTATTTAGTGCAATGAACTATATTAACTCATACAAAATGGGGGAAGGGTAAATTATCACATTAGCAAGATTAATTTTTAAATGTTTTTATATTTGAAATTGTCTCATTGGTTTTGCTAAATTTTACCGGTTAGTAGAACCCACAGTCACAAAGCGCAGGATTAAAATTTCAGCTTTGTTGTTTACTCTATTACTTTGGGCAACTGATTTATGTTCTCAGAACTATTTTTTAAAAGATTTTATTTATTTATTTGCGAGAAGGAGTGAGAGAGCACAAGCAGGGGGAGCGGCAGGCAAAGGGAGAAGCAGACTGCCCACTGAGCAGAGAGCCTGATGTGGGGCTCAATCCCAGGGTCCTGGAATCATGACCTGAGCCGAAGGCAGACACTTAACCAACTGAGCCACCCAGGCACCCAGGGGATAGCTATTTTTTTTAGCTATTTTAGAACTAGTGTAAGGAATGGACTGGAGCACATAAAGCACAGACCACAAAGTATGGCACAGTGAGCACAGCAGGGTTGGTTCTTAGTAAATGACAGTAGTTATTTGCCCACTTATTTTCCCGTAAATATGGAATATATTGAGATACTTGATATATCGCAACCAGGTGAAAACTGACCTATGAGACAGAAGATTCATTGTTGGAGAAAAGAAATAATTCATAAATTGCCCAGCAGTAATATCTTACATATTTTGCATCTTATGACTTAGAATATAGTTTGTTTCTCATGGCTTTTTAAACTTTCTATTTTAAAAACTGCAGCCAATGCCTGATTACTTTGTGCTTGATTATCTAGTTCTAGACTAGTTAGCCCCTTCATTTCTTGCTGTACAATAGCACAGAGAGAAAGGAAATGACTTCTGTAGAGACTGAATCATCTTTATGTCCTATGTTGTACCTAGCACTTAGTATCAATCAATTTAATAACTTTTTAGTAACTCCAGTTTTAGAAATCTTGGGTAAGACCAAAGGTAAAAATGAGACTCTTCCGGGGCACCTGGTTGGCTCAATTTTTAAGCATCTGCCTTTGGCTCGGGTCACAATCCCAGGCTCCTGGGATCGTGCCCCACATCAGGCTCCCTGTTCCATGGGAGGCCTGTGTCTTCCTCTCCCACTCCCCCTGCTTGTGTTCCCTCTCTCTGTCAAATAAATAAATAAAATCTTTAAAAAAATTAAAAAATAAAAATGAGACTCTTTGAACTCTTGTTTTTCACTGTCACTATCTCGCCAGCCATTTTCACAACTGAGTTCTATGTCAGGGAAATTATATCAAATGCTTGGAATAGTGTTGAATAGAATACACATTGATTCTTATTCAGAATGATGTCAAGTTTGACCTTAATTACTAGAAGAATAAAACTAAGTCCAAAATACTTCAGCGTATTTTATATGTCTTGTGGGAGAAACAAAAGAGAGGATTCCAGCCTTCAAGGAGTCACAAACGTGTAAAACCAGATTTAACTGGCATATTATGAACTTTAGAGAAACTTAAAAAGAAGGCAAAAAGGGAAGGTACAGAACAAGATTGATAGTGTCCTAGTTGTTACACACACACACACACACACAAGCATGTGCATGTGCGGGGTTTTGCACAATCTCTAAATAGGAATACCAGACACCAGACACTAATAACAGAGATTGTTTCTGGGCAAGGGCTGTGGACGACTGCAGGGTCAGGGGTTGGAGGAATACTTACTTTTCAACGTAGAGCCTTTAGTACTATTTAGTACAATTTTACTTACTCTTTTTTAAAGATTTGAGAGTATGCACAAACATGCATGTGCATGAGGTGGGGGGAGAGGCAAAGGGAGAGGGGAGAATCTCAAGCAGACTCCCCGCTGAGTGGGGAGCATGATGTGGAGCTTGATCTCCTAACCCTGAGATCATGACCTGAGCAGAAATCAAGAGTCAGACCCTTAATGGACTGAGTCACCCAGGTGCCCCTCACTTTTTTTTTCTTTTAAAGATTTTATTTATTTGACAGAGAGAGAGACAGAGAGAGAGGGAACACAAGCAGGCAGAGTAGGAGAGGGAGAAGCGATGTGGGGCTCGATCCCAGGACCCCGGGATCATGAGCTGAGCCGAAGGCAGATGCTTAACTGGACTAAGCCGCCCAGGTGCTCCATCACTTTTTTTTAATCATGTCCTTAAAAATTAAAATGTTCTGGTGGCAAGGGAACAGTGAAGTAAAATGTCTTGTTATCCTTTCTGAACTCAAGTTCAAACCACTAAGATGATATATTTTTTAAAGGAGGCTATTAACAATGCAGTAAAATGCTAATTACACAGATTTGTTGGAAAGAGTGAGACTCAAACTGAGGGCTGTCAGATTTTAGCCCAGAAGTCAATCTTTTAAAAAAAAAGAAACACTGGAATATGTAAGCACTTTATATATATATATGAATATATATAAATGAATATATAGAATATTTGAATGAAAGGATTTACAAGAAACTAGTAACATTTTTTAGAGAGAGAGAGTGTGAAGGGGTTGGGAGGGGAGGACTAGAGAGGAAGACAGAGAATCTTAAGCAGGCTCCATGCCCAGCACGGAGTTCTATGGAAGCGTGATCTCACGACCCTAAGATCATGACCTGAGCCAAAATCAAGTCAGATGTTCAACTGACTGAGGCACTCAGGTGCCCCTCAAAACTAGTATTTTTAATATCTATCAGTAGCACTGAAGGATATAGGGAAACTTTACCATATGCCATTTTATGCTTTTTGAATTTTGTAATATGGAAATATTTTACCTAGTCAAAGATTTAAATTTTAAAAATCTGTTCATCCTATAAGGACATTTCTATTTTTAAAGATTTTTTAAAGATTTATTTTTTATTTTTTTTTAAGATTTTATTTATTTATGTGACAGAGACACAGCGAGAGAGGGAACACAAGCCGGGGGAGTGGGAGAGGGAGAAGCAGGCTTTCTGCCGAGCAGGGAGCCCGATGCGGGGCTTGATCCCAGGACCCTGGGATCAGGACCTGAGCTGAAAGGCAGACACTTAACGACTGAGCCACCCAGGTGCCCCAATTTATTCATTTATTGTAAGACAGAGAGTGCGAGAGAGAGAGAGAGAGAGAGAGAGAGAGAGCGAGCGAGCAGGAGCAGGGGGTAGGGGCAGAGGGAGAGGGAGAAGCAGACTCCCTGCTGAGCAGGGATCCCGATACTGGGCTCTACCCCAGGACTCCAGGATCATGACCTGAGCCAAAGGCAGACGCTTAACCAACTGAGCCACCCAGGTGCCCCATCATCTTAACCATTTTTAAGTGTACCATTTGCTAGTGTTAAGTACTTTCACACTGTTGTGCAACCAATCACATAACTCCTTTCATCTGAAAGGCTATAACCCATTATACAACTTCTCATCCCCACCCTCAGCCCCAGCCCCTGGCAGCCACCCCTCTACTTTCCGTCTCCTGAATTCAATTCTGTCATATGAGAAATGTCATGTTAAGTGGAACCATACAATATTTGTCTTGCTGTGACTGGCTTACTTCACTTAGTTTAATGTCCTATCATTCTTTGTTCTAAGTATCTGCAGTGCATAGTCTTCCAGTCTGAGTTAATTTTTAAAAATTACAAATACAGAATTATGGAAGTATACGATGGAAAAGGGGAAGAAATACAAAAACAGCTTAAATTTTTAGAAGTTTTGATCAAAACTATCATACCATCTAAAAACATGCTTTTGCCTATAACTGAAAATTTCAAAAGAAAACTATCCATCTATTAGAGCATTCTTGCATAAATAACCTACTGATATAAAGAAAAAATATAAGAGGAGGATACTCTCAAATGAATTTTATTTATCATTAAAATATACAATCCAATCAGATTTTAAAGTTCTTGGGAAAATGGGAAATTCATGTTCCTTAAATCAAAATGAACATATAAATTGTGGCATGTTACAATGCACTGATTGTGCTTTTATTTTTTTTTTTAAGATTTTATTTATTTATTTGACAGAGAGAGAGACAGTGAGAGAGGGAACACAAGCAGGAGGAGTGGGAGAGGGAGAAGCAGGCTTCCCCCGGAGCAGGGAGCCCAATGCGGGGCTCGATCCCAGGACCCCGGGACCATGACCTGAGCCGAAGGCAGACAGTTAACGGCTGAGCCACCCAGGCACCCCTGTGCTAACTTTTCTATTCGTTAGTGAGGTCACAAAGTACCCTTAAAAACACAGACTTACATTTTCCAATGTCCATTTCTGTGGGAAGTGTACTTACTTTCATCTTCATGCAGAGTATGCAAGGCATTATTTTCCACTTGGAATGCTGGAATGCTTTCGCAAGATGTCTTATTTTATTTTATTTTATTTTTAAAGATTTTATTTATTTATTTGAGAGAGAGAGAATGAGAGAGCACATGAGAGGGGGGAGGGTCAGAGGGAGAAGCAGACTCCC